ACTGAGGCCCAGAATTCAGTTTTTACATTTCACATCCTATTTTTTAATCGAATTCTGTTACTACAATTTATTTTTGTGTCTGGTACTCAGAAACTGCTGGTGTGCTACTCCTACAAGAACCTGATGACATTTGGAGGCTGCAAGCAGGACTTTATGCTGGTGATGGGTCAGAACGTCGGCACTAACGCCAGCAAAGACAAACCTACAGAGAAACATCTGTTTGCTATGGACCCCTCCAAGGTCAGTGAGAGGGCCAGAGGGCGACAGTCCAGACGGCCAAGCAGAGTTTGTATTCTTAAAATGGACGGCACATTTGTTGTCGCAGTAAAACTGTGTCACACTGCTGCCTTTCATTCCACTCATTCTATCTCAGTATGTGTCAGTACATGTTGCAAAACAGCAGGACAAGTTAGACAATTAACTCCTGCCTGACGTCGACCAAAGTGAAACAGAACGTAACAGATTTCTCTGGGAAATTAAAGGCACGACACAAAGAAATAACAGAGACATTATGTAAAAGATGTTCGTCTAATTCTTTGTGAATCCTTCAGGTGAGTGTTTTTGGTGTTAGCTATGTTGTTAATCACAAAATGTGTGAGTTTAGTGTTTTTTTTTAAGAATGCCTTTATTAGTTTTTAACATCCATCCATTTCTTGCACTTAGCCAAAGGTTGTGGGGAGGGTGTCATGGGAAGAGAGGCAGGGCACACCCTGGATAGGTCTATACTATTGCAGGCCTAACACAGAGTGAGACAGACAACCGTGCGTGCTCACATCCACACCAACACCCAATTTAGAATCATCAGTTAACACTACATTCGTGTCTGTTTTGTGGGAGGAAGCTGGAGTACCTGTAGAGAACGCACAGAGCAAGAGGCAGAACACGCAGGCTCCACACAGCCTGCCGGTGGATTTGAACCCAGGTCTTTTTACTGTAAACCAACAGTGCTAACCACTGTTCCTCTATTCTCCAGTTCTCTATAGAAAAAGGGAAGAAAACAAACTGTTGAACTTCACAGAAAATCAGAGCAGAACAAATACTGCATGATTCAAACAAGTTCATCTGTTTTACCTTCTTTTAAAGCTAAAGCTGTGTCTTATCCATTGAGTAACATTTGGCCTTTTTAATTTAAAACAATGCTACTGTCTTTTTGACATTAAAAAAACAGAGGTTCGTTCATGTCTATACTACATTCTTTGGATACAGACAAAATAAAAATGTCTTGGGTAAATGTTTCATGAATGTCACTTTGGTGCTGGAGTTAGCTTCATGTTAGAATCTTTTACGCTGACAATTTGGCTTAAATCCTTTAGCCGCTGTGCATTTCTTACCACGTTATAAACAAATGCAAACTTGGCACTAGATAATGTATTTATAGAGAAGACCTGAAACCCACACCTAGGGCTACAAACAAACTTACTTCATCTATCTGAGGTCACAGATCAGGGTTGTTTTCCTTCTATACAGTCGACTTCTCTCTGCAAACAGAGGACTTTCCCTCCTGCAGATCCTGCACTGGCTTCACTTATTCGATGCAAAGACCATGTCCATCTTTTATATATAGTCTATGAGATGTACAAAAACTGGAATGCATCTCTGTTTTTGTTTTGTCCACAGATCAGGGAGGTCACGCTCCTCATTTTCAGTTACATCAACAGCGCACATCAGCAGAAGGCCGCCGCCCACCACCTCTCTGCTCCGGCCCTGATGGTGGCCCAGCCCGTGAGCCTGAAGAGCAAAGAGTTGAGGAGCAAATCCCCACCAGCTCTGGGACGCCCCAGCAAGGCCCCCACTCTGCTGTGATGGCGCAAAGACTTCCACCCTGGTCTTAATTTACATTAGAAATGTAGGATCTTTAGCTGCATGGTTTCATCTGCGCATTTAAGCCCAGCTAAATTCTAATAAGTGGAACGGTTACCCCTTCGTGACGAGCCGGGCGCTAACAAAAACTTATCTGTTGAGTGCAGTTTAATATCACAGACCAGCTGAGGTAGCAGCAATTTGCAGGTATCTTGGTACCTTCCTCAGAGAACACTTGATGAGATCTGTGGCTCAAACTGGAGCTAAAGGCTTTATACAAAAGTACAATGGGGCCAAGAAGCACTAAGAGGCTTTGCTTAACATTTTTTGTGTCCCTAATGATTGTGTTGCTTTCATTTTGTCACTCCAAGGAGAAAAATCAACAGTATTTATTGACAGACTGAGCAAATGTTCTGAAACGTCTCTATCAATCAGTGTTACCTGGTACATTTCTGTGTGCATTCAGTTAACTTTTGTATTCCTGTCTTTAGAACGTAATGCACAGTGCAGAGGAGGTAATGATCAATTGTTATTAAAAAAAAATCCTTTAAAGAGGGCGCCTGTTGTTTCCTGCCTTCCTGTAGGGCAGAGTGGGCCCAGCAGGAAGTGAAACTCTTAGTGTTAAAGTGATGCATAATGATGAAAGCGGGAGGCAATAACAGGTAACCAGATGGAAGTGGAGCACAGCTGTTTAAAATGTGTTTAAACCACCTCATCTGGGGCTGTGTGCTCCTTTTTGCAGTAGATGTGAGGAAAAGAACTGTGGACTTGGTGGGTTGTGTTGTTGTAAAGGAACCAGATTGTCCTCTTTGTGCTCCTGGTTACTGAACAGCCAGGAGAGTGGTAAAACTTTAATCATGTACAAATACATAAGGCCTTTCTGGTGAGGTCAGTGGATTGAATCAGCAGGAGGTTTCGACTCAGAATGTTACTTGACAGCTTTGTGGAAGTATGGAAAAGTGTGCTGTTTCTTTATGACACACATTCCTCTATACTGAGTCCGTTGCACAGTTCGGTGGCCATCTGCTACAACTGCCCCACTTTAGGTATTAACATTTAAAATCTTAGGTATTATTTTTAAAAAAAAACCTCCTTGTTTAGTTGTTATGAAGTCAAAATTTGGCATTTTAACACTTTTGTATCCAGCCTCAAGTGGCCATGTGAGGAACTGCACTTTCCATTGGCTTCATTTTATTCTGCCCAGAAGGTTCCAGTCCAGTCTAATCATTCATCATAAACTTTCCACCTCCATACACACACAGAAAAATCCTCGGTTCATGTCAGGGACAATATTGAAGGTAAATGAAAACTGTGCTGTGAGCAGGTCAAACTGGAAGACAGTGATGAAACACCACTGCCCATTTTTCCAGTAAACAATATGGTGAGTAAATATTCACAATGGAGCCTTGATGGCTGTCAAGTCTGAATGAGAAAGCAGTTTTAATTGAAAAGGTGTGGATAATAAAAAAAAATCACACACACACTAATGGCTAAGGGGTCTTTTTTAAGGAAAATTCAGCAGTGTGAACTCAGCTTTAAGAAATGTGTATTTCTTAAAAAGTATGTAAAAAGAAGGTGAGAAGATGTAGGCAATGTGTTTTTAGCATGTTGTTGAAAACATCCGTTGGTCACTGAACAGAGATTCCAGAGAACTGTAACGTTTTTCTTTGTTTGCTGGTGTGACAGAACACGAAACCGAATCTGATATAAACCTGAAGACAAACTGGAAAGGCATGACAGTTTAATGTAAGGTACTCCTAGTATTATCTTGATCCGGTATACAGTGAGAATAATCAGGCTCTATTTATTTGTGACATGGAATACATGTATCTAAATCCTGTGTCCTGGAAATGAAAGTTTGCTTGAGCCACGGGTGTAAATCCCAGAAATTCATATAAAAATCCTCACCCTGTAGGAAACTGTATAAATCTATAGTGAGCTTTAAATTCGCCCCACTGAAGTAAACTGAAAACCGACATGTCGGTACCTGCAACAGGTGCCTCACAGCGAGCGGCACACCTTCATTCCTGCAGTCTTTCACTGAATCGAGGGGTGGGGGGAGGGTAAAAGGAGAGAAGCTACATGATACCTAACCTGGCTGAACAAGTTAGAGATCTGCTTTTGTGCTCCTGTTGCTATGGAGCTAGAGAGAGGGGGCGGGGCTCACAGGAGGGCGCTGGGTGAGGCCAGAGGGAACTAAGGTAGAGCAGGTGACTGATACTGTGCTTTATGTGGGGACTGAGGTTAAAAGAAAGTAAGTCAACTGCTGATGTTGAAAACAGAATGCAAATGCATACAATAAACAGGAAGGTATACTTCTTTAGGTCAGTATTCTTTCAAATGTGCTCCAAGCTTCAGGAAGGCTCCACACTGAAAACGTGTAAACAAGCACGGCCTCCTCGAGTGCTAGCTTCACAGACCACAGCTGTACAGAACCAACCACATACTTCTTGCAATACAAACATGTTGCAACAGGAAACCAGGCGGTTTATTTATGTATTCAGATTGATAGATAATGCCAACTTCAGTTTGTTTGATGAGACGATGTCTGCCATTTTAGTCCACTTGGACTTTGGCCCTTTCACCTGACTCAATCATTCCTGCCCTAACATTTTAAACCGAGGGCAGTCTCAGTACAAGCATATGCATGCATTCGTGAGTGAGATGGAACCTGTCCGACAGGTTCAACACGTCACCAAACGACTCCTGAGCGCAGCTAGACATGCCTACCTATACTCAAAGGTTGTCTGTCTCACCTGAGGCAGTGTGACACACAAAAACAAGTCCTTTCCATCTTGGCCATAGTGGCACAAAACTGCTAAGAGCTGTGAGTTTTGCTTAACATTCACATGATTCCTGCCACACCCGTGCAGTAGCTGATCTCCAGCAGACCTGCCCCCTGTAAACAAAGTGCCTGTTACGAACAACGACTATCGGAGCAGCCATCTTCCCAGACAACGGAGGCTTTACACTTCTAAGGAAATACACAAAAAAAAAAAAAAAAAAAAAATGTCTGAGAGGTGGAGTATCGAGGAAGGGGGAAGAATAATTAAGAACCCACACAACTTTAAAATCAGCTTCGATCATCTCATCATGTTCAGCAGTTTTCAGAGTAGTTTCCTCCATCTCGTTCCCATCCCCCACATTTAGTCTGGTAACAGTGGAAAAATTCAGCCAAAACATCAAGAAACCTGCGTCAGTGTCTTTTAAAGCATGTTTTATTAAAAACAATCCAAACAAACACAATAGAAAGTAAGAAACTGTACACTCTATGATGTGGAATTTAAATTCTAATGTTAAAATGAGGCATGTCAGGCACACTTTAAAAATGCACAGTACTTATATGGCATGTAGACCAGAGGGATGATGCTTTAAGACTTTACATGATTTATAAATAAATTGTAGCAGTAATGACACCCCAACAAAGAAAAAAGGCGATTATTCATTTACAATCTGCAAGTCTCAAAAGATAAAAATGGCACGCTCCCACAGCGAAGAAAAAAAAACAAGGTAATCCAAAAAAGGCGATTGTATGCGTCGACTCGTCACACTCTCTCTGCTTTACATTTGCTCCATCTCTCTTTGCTGAATTGGAGGAAAGAGCAGACACACACGTTAATACAATGACCTCTTTTTTCTCAAAAGATAAATTTACCAACAACAGGTCGTTTATCTCACCTGAGTTTTTTTGTACTTCCTCTGTCGCTTCTGGAAAAAGAACTGCAAACACAGAAGAAACCAAATTATGGCTTGAAGAACAAATGTTAAAAACAACAAACGACACTTCTGACATGCAGATGCGCTCACCACAGCCAGCAGGCCAGCAATCACAGCCAGCACCACCACCACGATGACGGCGATGATCCCGCCTGTCAGGTGCTTCATGGTGATGGTCGGGGGC